TATATATATATATAATTATATGTAGACATATTCTACATATATGACGCCTTAAATATAATTATATATATATATATATATATATATGTAAGATCATATGTAGTTATATATAATTATGTAATTGTATACAAATGGAAAAAAAATTTGTTTCCATGTGTATCAGGTTGTTTCCGATTCCACGACGGAAAAGATAATAGATATCGCTCAAGTGGCCAATAATGTTATAGTTTACCCTACTTATGTCGTAAAAAAGGAAGCGGCTTCCTTAGATCACGCGGAATACATTTATTAATATATTCCGGAAGAAGACATATATCATTATTGTAACTAGAGAAATAGTGCCTATTTTAGGATGTCTCTGGCAAGTAATATTTATTATCGAGCAATAGTTTCTCTCGTTTCTCTACTTTAGTATCTCAAACGCTTTATAATATCGTTATCATCGAAACGTCTTATGTAAGTGCGCGTAAGGTGCTGTTAGTGTAGTCGACTACTTTTCCTACTCTTTGTACTCGATATAATTCAGTATTGCGACACTATATCGGAAGAAATTTACTAGCGCAACGAAGGGATTGACATGAATCTATCGTACTTCGGATAGCCGTAATTTCGTCACTCTTTCCTAATAATTTTCTCTCGCTCTTATTTTTTTTTCTTTTTTGTTAAATAAGTGCCGAATATTTTAGCAGACGTTCGTGCTAGAATAGCGCAAATTCGCTTGTCATTTCGTTTGTAATCCGGAAGGTGAGGAACTCATCGAGACGACATATCCCTTTGATGACAATTTTCAACGTGAAGGACAACAATTTAGTCATAAAATTGAGACCTATATTAATTGTCGTTAGATTTTAATGTTACATTACGAAAACCACGTCTGTACATAATATAGCGCGACATTATAGAACTTGATATATAGGCAGAAATCTTGTATGTACCTCAGATACAGATAATAAAATCTTTTCTAACGAAGACTGCATATTAGAGTGGAGTTTATACTCTATTTTCAGACTGAATAATATTTATCGCTAAATCGGAAGGAACTTTATAATATTGACAGTAAATATAGATTTTTAGCGTATTTTGTGTGTGGTGTGGTTCAGAAGGTATGCTAAAATAATAGGCTGGGAATGTTGTTTCAGCAATCGACTAACGTATTCTATTGCAAACCTCTTGCATATAAATTTTACTACATCATACGACAAAAGAAATACGTCGATTGTTAATATACTGACATATTACACGTGTCTAGTTTGTAGACAGTTTCGTACTGTTCGCGATTTTCGCGAGGCAGTTCCAATTTCGGACAACGTCCATAACAAATTACGAAGCTCCAGAAATATCAATACGAGGGAGCGACACTGCCGTTCAATGTTAGAATTTCGACGCCTCAGTTTTTGTCGGCAAGTGTGGATGACACAATTACAACTGATCAATAGTAGACAAGAGTGGATAACATAATAACAAACAATCAATCAATAGTAGGTAAAAGTGGGTAGCACAATAACAAATTATCAATAGTAGGTAAGAGAAACTCAGCTTAAGCTCCATCCATGTATTCCTACATCCATGGTATGCTCATACCGCAACATTTCATCGGTATGACAGGTTTCTTAACCTGTCAAGTCGTCAACTTTGACGATTAATAACTCACTTCGCCGGGCAGAGTAACACTTCTTTCTGCCAGATTCTCTCGTTTCGTGCAAAAACACGTTGAATAAGTGTAATTTCACCCATATTTGTGCTGGTGTAGCTAAACTAAATAATTACCTTATTATTTTATCTTTTGAGAAGGATTTTGGAACGCAGCCACAGTTGGCGACATCTGAGACCCATGACAAATGGCGCCACGGTATTTTTACTTCTATCAGGGGAGGAAGCGTAAACATGCGAGTTCGTACCTCGTGGTCTGCAGTGGTATAAACATAAGAGTGGACGTAACGCCTTAGCAGCTTTTTTATATAAAATGGATAAAAAGTGTCATATATGGGAAACGGAGGAACTTTGCAGTATCAATATATGTCCATTAGTAACAGCTCCATTCGCAGTACAATGGTCGCCCGACAATCAGATTTCATTAATTACAGAAGGAGGTGTTCACGTATTAGTAAGTCGTGTTTGTTTATATTATATTACTACGACACTTAATACGTTTTGTGCCATGTAAGCTACCGATGGCCCACGCTGAATTTCAACAATGAAAACATTATTCCTGTTGGTTTTAGCTGAATTAATGCTGTACTGGAACTTTGTTCCTTTTTGCATTCAACGTTAGATTGTACACTTATTTCACTCCAAAATCAAAAGGTGCAATCTAATTCGGCTAAAATAAACAAACCTTTTAAAATTCTCAAACAATAATAATATACTTTGATAATTATTATGAGACACATTAGATATTTGTTACAATTTGGTTTATAGTAAGGCAGCATGGGCCACTGGTGGCTTCATGTGGCATGGACAGCAAGTCATATAAAATTAATCCAGTACAGAATGTGTAACTCTGATGTTGCATGTGTGTCGAAGAAAGGAGTCCAATATAAAATAGCTTCAACTATTTATATAATTTTTGAACTCTACTGATGTCTGATATGTTACTGAATATTTTATTTCAAATAATGCCACATGTGTTAATGCTACAGATTTCGAAAGTTCGATGGCATAAAGTGATGTAAATTTTATCTTTGCAGGAACTACAACCTTCTCCCATGTCTCCCAATCCGACCGTCAAATTTACTCGGTCCTTCGTGAATCCTTCTGACACTCTGCCAGCGTATGCGTTTGCAACTGAGATGGAATCCCTGGTATGGAAATTGGAACGCCAAGAGATATACTCTCTTCTTATGGAAGAAGCAATTACACCAAAGTTAAATGGTGTGAGTGATATTGCCTTTAGGATAATCAAGATTGCATGGTCACCAAAAAATTTGATTTCTCCGAATCAGTGTATATTAGCAATATTGACTACGTCAGGGGCGGTCGAATTGTTGCACAAAGTTTCCAATGAGTGGTATTCCATTTGTGATATCTCAATTCTTCGGCTGAATATTGTACAAGAAGAAATCAAGTCTAGTCTTCGTAATTGTATGAATTCATTCGACACCATGAACCAGTACGCTACAACCATTCACAGCATGAGAAAGTTACAGGCCTGTTCTATAACATGGAGTGAACTTTTCGAAATGGGAAAAACTTACTTTGCATACTTTGCTGTAGCTTATCGCAACGGTGATATATCGATTTGGAAGATTCCCAGAATTTCAAATTTCACCGCAAGCTTGAAACCTGTATTAGCTATCAGAATAGAGTTGAAAATCACTTTGAGAATCAACTTGTTATGCTGGGTCAGCATTAGTGCGAATGAACATCTGCTCATTGTCGGATATATTGACGGTAGAATATATAGTATAAAATTGTCGTGTGATATTGACAAGCTACAAATCGATTCAATAGAAAAATGTACCGAAAGCGACCGTATTGGAATCAATCATTTCCACATCGTTCACAAAGATAAATCGCACATAAAGATCCTTGCTGCCAAAGGTATTTTTCTTTTGCTATTGTGCATAAATTGGACAGGGTCATTGAAGAGTATAAAATATCTACGGACAAAAGAGTTTAATATTACAGGTGTGTATTTTTGCTAATATAGTTATATATATATTATTAGCAACTATATATAAAGTATACATATTATAAATCTTTAAATAGAATAAGAAGGAAGAGGAGAGAGAGAAAGCCAATAAGAACCTATGCACAGGTAATTTAGTAAGCAATAAAAACAAAATAATTATAGTTTCTTAATTTCATAATGATTTTATATCTTCACGAAGTTAAGAAGTTATAATTATTTAGTTTTTATTGCACTAAATCACCTATGCACAAGTTCTTACCTTATTTAAATTTATTTTGTCAATAAGGTCAATTAATATTATTATTATAAATATTACAACAGTGAGAAAAAAGCAATTAAATCTTAAAAAAAATCAGCGGTCACCCTCATTGAAAGAAATATTGTGTCCACTGAACAAATTACGCGCAACAATACATTGCGTTAATATAGCTGGTGACCAAATCGCAATCATCAATGAATCAATTGAAAATTCGTTACAGCAACTGTATAATTTATTCACTGGACTAAACGTTACGTTCGATACAATTTTCTTCGTTCTACATTAAAACCGCCGATGATGCCGGTTTTAATTCCGTAGACCTTTAAAATTGTTATTTATAAATTTTTCTATCGGTAAGTAGTTTTCCCTGATTTTTTATCATTTCAAATTCAAATATAACCTGAAATAGTGCAAATAATATCAAAATAACTCCAGTAACCGAAAATAAAAACAGAAGCAAAATTGGCACCTATGCTCGGCGGTTTTAATGTTAAGCAGAACTTTGTTGATTCTATCATTTTTGTTTTGTCGGTATATAAATGCTGTTACGCAGCGAAATTAGTATCTGGCCCTTATTGCTTATAATAACATTTAGTTTTAGTATCATACAAATGTTACCTGCTATGTCTGTAAAACATATAGGATACGCATTTTTCAGGTATAAACTCCATTACTGCTCAAAAATTCTTAATCAGTACTCAGGACGCTCACGTCTTCGTCGTAGATATACAGTCGGACGAGCTAGTGCTCACCAATATCACAACTCACCTGCCACAGACGCGTGTTCAGTACTTAGGACTTGCTCACTCACCAAATAAAGTAATGTTTGTCAATATAACTAGTCCGAGTATGAGCTTCGATCATTTGGTGGTAAAGGAGCCAAGTACGATACACGTGTTCGCTTTGAAAAGCGTCGACCCGCTGCCCATTGTTAACAATAGCACAAGTCTCACAAATATTTGGGACTGCATGGAGATGCTTCGTGTTAAAGCCGCTAAAGCGGAGGATCCGAGTACGGTGTTGTGTACGACGACGACGACAGAGAAGCCGGAATCGCTGCATAACTTGCGAGTATCAATGTGGATGACGGTGATGATGAATGTGTGTAAAGTCAAGAAGCCGATCCCGAATATAGATCACATAAGACAGAGCAAGATATCGCGAGAGTTGCCGTTAATCTATGTCCACTTCGCTTGTGCGTATCTTGATAACTTGACGAAGAAGGGCTCGAGGAAGAGGAAGAGCATATTATCGAACGATCAGAAGATTGCTATAGGCTTGCTGAGAAAGTATCTGAACATATATCTCACGAACGAGGACAACGATGACGAGGAAGACGAGAGAGATGAGAAGGCGCGTCGGTGCGCCCGAGAAACGCTGAAAGCAACCGCGTCTTGCATCACCATGATGGAGAAGTGCAATTTATGTTGCGAGACGATAAACGAACTCTCGAGGGACGTCACGTCGTGCCCGTCGGGTCACAAGTTACCCAGGTGTGCAATAACGTTACTGCAAATCACGTCGTTGGAGTACCGTGTCTGTCGGATATGCGGACAGATGTTCCATTCGTGTTTGGAGCAAGTGAGCCAGGAACCGTGCTGTCAGTTTTGCGATGTTCCTCTTCTGTACAACGAGTATGCTCTCGACGTGGAGGGATCGGAATTGTACGGGAAAAATTTGTCGCAGCTGCGAGTCAACATCGTGGAATCGTCGAAGGAGCAGCAATATCCGGAAGAGTCGCACGAGAAGCCACACAAGAACAAGCGCACTGCCAAAGCGAAAACTGCGAGTAACTGCGACGATAACAGTGATGATGTTCAAGTGAGATGGGGGGACATTTAATATTCACGTAAAGTATTTATAAATATTAGATTCCAAATTATGTTATTTAATAATTTTAGTAATGTTATGTTAATAATACCCCAAAGGTATTTATATTGTTGTATATATAGTATTACTAGAATATTGTGTTTTTAAATTGATCAAGAGTGGAAGCTCTCGCGAGTCACTTGCAAATATCGTACATTGTTTTTAATATATATATATATAATAATTATCCATTGACGCTACAGCCCCATGTAGAGACTTACCTCTCTCTCACGTATGCATGTGGTGCGCACGCGGATTATACACATGCATGCGGGACCTACAATTTAAACGCCGGTTCCGAACGGCAAATTGGAGAGAGGTTTCTTGGCATGAATATTCTTTGGCGTTTGCCAGACCACCGGAAGAGGAGCTACGAGCTATGAATGATGGGTATGACAAATTTTCTAGCTCTGTCGGAAATCGAACCCAGAACCTCTGTAGCATAGTAAATCGGTGCGCTGTCTACCATGCCACGCTCGTGCTCATATATATATATATATATATATATATGTGTGTATGTGTGTGTATATATTTTTTATAATTGTATAAAAATGTACGATCCTATTTTAGTAATACAACTTGAAAATAAAATAAGTACAGAGAACTTTGGTTCATATTCTCAACTTTTCAGCTCACTTTTACTGATAAAAGTGTCTCTCAAAGTAACTTAGAGACTACCTAAATTTGTTGATAAAACGGAAGGAAAAAAATCGATTTAGGGTGCGTAATTTTAGAAGTTTTAAAAAACCCGGTTTTTTCCCAATCTATTGAACGGATTTTTTCGGGTTCTTTCCGGAAAAATGGAAAAAAAAGAAAGATTGTTTTTAAATTATACTGAGAAGTATTTAAAGCACTTTTATCAATAAAAGTGAATTCGGAATATGAATTAAAGTGTCTCTTTGATAAAATCGCCTTTGAGGTAGGATCGAACATTAAATGCATATTACTTTCCGATCATGTTTATTATGTGACATTATGTGATATTTACATGCAAATCTATTATTTGAGGATATATTGTTCGGGATACGACATAATTTGCGGGAAACTGTCCCTCTCTTCCTTCGGAATATGATCCAATCGGACAGGGACGTATCTTTGTTGTTTAATTTGATTAGACACATTCTTCAACATATCTTTGGGCACTTGATCGTTCGGAAATATATGTAATCTTTGCATGTAACCCCGCCGTAGCAGATTTTTTGGCAATGCTCTGTATACAGCCTTCTCCACGATCTGTTGAAATTTTATATACAATTGATTAAACGATAAATAGAATTATATGCTAGATGAATAATTTCGTCTTTTACAATTATAATACTCATAATTACCAGAGTTGGATCTTTTTTATGTAACTCCCATGCAAGAGTCCAAGTATCACCTCTGTGGTATGTGTTATGGTGGAAATATACACGTTTACGCCATTCATCTCCACGTAAAGCAATTTCCTTGCTGTTTATTACCACTACATGATCACCACACTCGTCTAGAGTGAAATTAATGAGTAACATTAGAAATTGACACAAGTTTATTTGTTTTCTCTTAGTCATTCTTGTTTACACAAGAAAAATTTGTTTTTTTTTTTAATAATTTTTTATATATCTGCACACATATTTTATAAGATAATATTATTAGATTGTACAAGACTTTTTAACATTAGAAGATCAAATAGCATTTCAGATATAGAGAAATTTTTAAGTCGTTATTTTATTTTATTCTTAATCAATGATGATTGCAGAAAGGAAAGTTTTTTTTATATATCCAGTTCTTTTTATATTTAAAATTACTTAAACTAAATTTAGTTTTATTGTTTGTATAGCTTTCTCGCTTATATAGAAGATATATTCATCAAAGAATGTAAAATAGATAAATATACAATTTTGTTGTTTAAAAGCATTAAGAATTGATAGGTAATTTTTATGATTTATAAACATCTCATAACAAAAGTGATACAAACGAAGTAATACTCACTTAGTGGGTGATATATTGGTTTATGTAATCCCATAAGATACATCCTTATTAAATCGGCACTTTTATATGGATCTTGCCACATCGCATCGTAAATGTGCCAAATTCTGGCAAACGTTCCCCAATGCTGAGAATAAATTACGTATATATTATTAAATATATGTATAATTTAAATTATGTTCTAGAAAATTCGCTAAGACAAACACAGAATGCAACATAACACTCGAGACAAATGTATCGCAAGGAATTTTCCAGAAATTAGGAGATTAAACTTAATATTGTGGAAAAAAAAAACAAACCTGTCCCCGTCGAACAAGCGACATGGTAATTTCTAACAACTTTTATTTAACACTACAGGAAACAATAGAATTAAAAGTCAAGTTAAGCCTCACGTTACTGCGGCTTCCAACAGGCTATAATTATTTACCTCCCGATGAGGTTATCTCAAAGCGGCACTCGTCCGATCGAACCACGAATATCCCTGCTGAGTCTCGGCTACAATGACCCGTTACGGTCGAACCCGTTATTTTAGTTCCGAGATTATTTTAGTTCCGTCTCCGCTACGAGTTGCAGTTGTATTCAACGAAAATCGAGCCCGTGAAACCACTCAACAACGGATTAGATCTATTTTTCAGTACGTAATATAGAATTTAGTAATAATTCCCGGCGAACACATTATTTTGCATGTACTCTCTCTCTCTCTCACACTCACACGCATTTATTCCTTCCGAGGAGGGACCGATTCTTTGAAATTCGCTCGATAGTTGTGCGAATGCGGCTTGTTGGGCCGTCGCAACGGCAGCGTCGCACAACGGCTGCATACGTGTCTACCAATCGCTACGTGTCTGTCAATCGTATGATCATCACAAGCAGGGCCAGTGTCTGTAGTTACGGGACGACACTTACGGTCGTTTATCATCGCGATCATTACGTCGTTCTCTCGTAAATAATAACGGACGACGCGCGCGATACATCAACGCGTCGTCGTGTCTCATCAGGCCGGGCAGCCGCGCGCTGACCCGCCCCCGATGTGATCCGCGAGCATAGCGATTCCGAGAGGGCGACCCCGATGGATCGTCACCTGTCCGCTGTCGTTGCCGACGACGACGATTGGCATCGCGAGGCGCACAACAACCTGGGCGCTCTACGTGACGGCGCTTAGCACGTCTCAGCACGGCGAGCTATCATGTGCCGGACGGCCGAGGTCGTAACGATCTGAGGAACACCGAGCAACAGTCTTCAACGTCGTCCACGATGGCGAGCCCCGGCAGTAACCCGGAGAATGCCTCCAAGTTCTTGGAGGTTCTGCAGTCGGACCTCAAGGTACTCGCCTCGGAGACGAAGAAGAAGTATCCGCAGATCAAGGAGGTGCGTAGCGCGGACGTCGTCGTTGACGATCATCGTACTTCGTTAAACTTCAAAATGGATAGCTTTGATTTTTTCGTCCTTTCTATACTATTTAGATCTCATCTTTGTGAAAACAGATGTATCCATTGCTCAAGAAATATATATGCGTTAAACATTTAGAAGTTTGTCGACATATATATATATATATATATATATATATAGACAAATATATACACACACACACACATATATATATATATATATACATATATTAAGGTTTAAATAAACTCAATTTGCTTATTACAGTCATGCGAGGAAGGTGTCGCAAAGTTGAGAGCAGCGTCGAGTAATCCAGGAACACCGATATATTATGTCATCAATCAGATACTGTACCCTTTGGTTCAAGGTTGCGAGAGTAAGGATATAAAAATTATCAAGGTACTAAAGACCTACGTTTCATATCTGTCTGTTATCTGTGGGTTAGATAACAATTCTTACGAGATAAAAATCTTTCTGAGCGCTTCTCGCTTGTCAGTTTTGTCTAGGCATGATGCAAAGGCTAATAACACAACAGGCGGTAGATCAGAAAGGCGCACGATATATTACGGATACCTTGTGGCTGTTAATGGAATCAGGTACTGAGGAAGTTAAAGTTTTGCAGACTGTAACTTTACTGCTGACAAGTAACACTGTGGTACATGGAGACACCCTTGCGAGAGTGAGAATCTGTTTACATACATCGACGTTTCCTTTTGGAAAATATTCAGAATGATCGACGTTATGTTACACCTCTCCTTGCAGAACTTGGTGCTGTGTTTCCGGTTGCACTTTACGAAAGACTGCACAACGATAAACACAGCTGGTGCTACTGTAAGGCAACTAGTTTCCTTGGTGTTTGAGAGAGTAGTTGCCGAGGACGAGCAAAGTCCCGACCAGCAAGACTCCGACGAAGTTAATCTGGAGGAACTGAAAATCCCAACGAATCAAGCGCCTAAAGGTCTCGGCCCTTGCGCTGCAGATGCATACTTAATGTTTCAGGTGAGTTTATCGATCTCTCCGGCTGGGTAGTTTTAAAGTTTCCTACAGAAAGTAACCTCGTTACATTTTAGGATCTAGTTCAGTTGGTGAATGCTGACCAACCATACTGGCTGATCGGCATTACCGAGATGACTAGGACCTTCGGATTAGAGTTGCTAGAGTCTGTCTTAACAAACTTTTCATCGGTCTTTTTCAAGGTAATTTTCATCCCTAAAGAGAGTGGAAATTTAAGAGATTTGTGTTTACAGAAATGCAGGGAAAGATACATGTTTCATTCCATGCGAAAGTTGTTTTGTTATAATTGTATTATTTTTAGCATCCGGAATTTAGTTTCTTACTGAAGGAGAGAGTGTGCGCGCTCGTGATAAAACTCTTTTCGCCTAACATCAAGTATCGCAATTCAGTGCCGGCGTCTTTGCAACAGGCCACGCCCCTGGATAAACCTTACTTCCCTATCAGTATGAGGCTCTTGCGAGTTGTGTCGATTTTGATACAGAAATATCATTCATTGTTGGTAAGTGTCTTGCACGCTTGCCTTGTAGAGAGACGAAGATTCGATGTCAGCTTTTTAATCTCCGATAAATAACGCTCCGATGTTTCAGGTGACCGAGTGCGAAATATTCTTATCCTTGATTGTGAAATTCTTGGATCCTGACAAACCTACTTGGCAGAGAGCTTTAGCGTTGGAGGTTTTGCACAAAATGACGGTACAGGCGGACCTCCTGACGAACTTTTGCGAATGCTACGATTTGAAACCTCACGCTACAAACATTTTTCAAGATATCGTCAATAGTTTAGGCGCTTATGTACATAGCCTCTTCGTGAATCCACAGATGATGAGTCAGACAGGTACACAACATATATATATATATATATACCCACACACACACACACACACACATATCTATACACAATTTGTATATTTATACACGTATATATGTGTATATACATGTATATAGTTGTATATGCTATATATACATACTTGTATATACATATTCAACATATATAGTTCCACTGTTACAAAATTAATAACGCGCAACTTCCTAAATGTTCCCCTGATTTCCCTTGAAAGTACCGATCGCAATTTTCCTATTGGACGCTGTATAACATTTTACTTTAATTATAACATTAAAAATTCATTTTACTTTTATTTATTTTCTTAAAACAGCTGCGAGCACAACCGTACCTCAAGGCACAGGTTCGCCATTATTCACAGCAATGCCGATCGGACCGGGCGTGTCGCCCCAGCCTGGTTTTTATTCCCGTGGTATTTGGTTACCAGTAGTAGCGACGTTTACAAGCGGACAAGCCAAACCGACTTAGTGAGCCTCATATTACTGTACTTTCCTAGCGATGAATTTTAAAGAGTCGATGATAAATACACGCGGTTGTTTCAGCTTGGAGATGCTGGACAAGGTCGAGCCGCCGCAAATACCGATCGGTTATGGAATCAGTATAGCTTACGCGTGCCTATTAGACATCATAAGATCGATCGCGCTGGCCATAAATGGAACGTCGAAGGAGGATAGCAGCGAGGGTCAGACCTATCAGCCGAGCGAAGCTGAACTGAAGCTCCACATACAACTAATCAATTCAAGCTGGTGCGGATTATTGGCAGCTCTTAGTCCGTTAATAGACGCCAGGTAATGGTCTCGTGTAAATTTTATACACATTGTATCCGAAGAGATGCTTAATTTGGTTTCCGATATAGTGCCATGTCTTTCTTATCGATTCGCTTCCCAAGTAGAAAATATATTTATAAAGGACGTATTTCTTAAACACTTCAAATTCACAATTCATGTACTTTGAATGAAGGAGGTTGTGAGGCGGAACGAGTTTGATAAGAATTTGAAACTGAAACTTTCGCATTGCATATACATTGAAATATTATCTTTAACCCGTTCGTGCAATTAGTGAAAGATTGAAGAACCCCTTTGAGAGCTGAGATATTTGCAAAGATAAAGTTGATTTTACACATGTTTTCCCTGATATGTATTTCGAATTTCTATTTTCTTAATATTTTCTAAATTAAAAACAAGATTTTTTCGACAAATCACTATGATATTAAAGACTAATATGCAGATATTATACATAAATTTCGGAATTATTGACAATTTTTAAAATACAACGGTGCAAAGTTCATGATTTATAGTAATCGAAACATTTATATATTTGCATATATTTAAATATTTATATACCATTTTCTATTATTCGTGCATCTCTATTAAATTAGTTGATATATAAAAAAAATATAGCGTTAATAAAAAAAAATATTTTTGTTTTCGTAATATTTTATATATATATATGTTTGTTCCAAATTATCATTTACTATCTGAGTAGTGAAATAAATGTATATTAGGAATATAATTTTGCTTTATAAATACTGAAAAATTTATAAGTGGCCCTCTTGAGAGATATTGAAAATACGAGCCTTACAACCTCCTTAAGCATTTTTTTTACACCTCGAAAGCCTGAAATATCGTACTCGAAGAAAATTCGTAAGTGTCGTACTGATCGTACGAATCGATACAGCACGGACGAGTCCGCGACGGAGAACGTTCTGAAGGCGATTCAAACGTTCGCGTCTCTCTGCGGCCAATTGGAATTGCAAGCGCCGCGAGACGCTTTCATCACCGCAATATGCAAAGCCTCGTTGCCGCCTCATTACGCACTGACAGTGCTCTACAACGCACCTCAAGGTATACCGAGCGCGAGACAGCAAGACTCTTCTCAGTATAACCTGACCATGGGCGAGCCCGATTACAGGCAGCAAGTGGTCGCCGTTGGCACGCCGCTTCCGACGGCGTCTCTACCGATCGGTAAGGCATTGCTTCGTTGCATCCGCGTGATGAATTGTATGCAGAGCTGGCTAATAATTAGTTAATCGTTTGAGAAAGCTTAGTTAAATTAGTTGATAACTTGACTTGGTTAACTTTAAATGAGTTAACTTTTAACTTAAAATAGTTTATTTTAACCCATTTCGACGACGACTTTTTCGGCCGGGTGAGGTAGCAGGACGAGGCGATTTTCGCAGATGTGTCGAGTGTCTTTACATGGCTTTCCGTTTAGCCGAATTTCGTCAGAATTGGAGGTCGATCTTGATGTGTCATTTCACACTTCGTAGAAAGAACATAAACAGCTAAGGAACCTTTCCAAGAACCAATAGTGCGTTCCTATCGGTTGGAGGTAACAAAATCTAACATAAACACCAACTGCCGCCTCTCGCCACTCGTCCTGCCGTGCGAAACGCCGTGACGATCGAGAGTCGCCTCTCGTCCGCAAAGGGTTAAAATACGTTAACTGTAACTTATTAACCTTTTATATAATTTAATTTATATGTATATATATATATATATAATTTAATATAATTAAAAATAATTTATTAATATTAAAATCATTACGGACTGCTCACAATATTGAACAAGAAAAATTAAAAATGCCAAGAAAAATAAAAAATACTAATAGGCTTTTTTTATGTATATGTACACATATACGGCCTTGCATGATTAACTTCGAACTTTAACAAGTTAATTTAATTATAACTTAACTTCCAATTAAGTTTTTCTGGTTGAGTAACTTTTAACTTGTAGTTAAAAATAAAAATTAACTTTCCCAACTCTGATTATACACGTACCGTTCTCGTCCTTCAATTTTACAATTTGACGAATTTTATTTTGATTTTGTATCACATTATATGCATTTAGGCGCCCATCAAGGCCCCGTGATGTTGACCGCGAAAAATCTGCAATGCATGCGCGCGTTGTTATCGTTGGCCCATTGCCACGGCAGCATACTCGGCAGTGCGTGGCATTTGGTACTTACCACTCTTCAACATCTCGTCTGGATCCTCGGTCTCAAGCCCTCTACTGGAGGCTCGCTGAAGGCGGGGAGGACCGCGGCCGACCCGAATGCCGTGTTGACGAACGCCGTTATGGCGGATCTACCGGTGCTCAGCGCCATGCTCAGTAGATTGTTTGAGAGCAGCCAGCATCTGGACGACGTGGCTCTGCATCACCTGATAGACGCTCTCTGCAAACTGAGCCACGAGGCTATGGAGTTGGCGTATTCGAATCGCGTAAGTCAAATACTGCGTTCTTTATACACGCATTCTTAATTAAGGATAGAATGGGGAGATAAACATACTCCTACTGTCCATTGTAGATCATGTTTTATCTTCTCCTCATATCTCATCGCTCTTATTCCCCATTCTATCTTAAGGGAAGAAAATTGAGAAAAATCTCAGATCATAGTCGGACCTTATATTTGAGGCTTCCTTAAATTCATCTTCAAACTGTAGCAGATGAAATGAGCCGTATCTAAAGATAAAATTAAGGTGGCCATAAATATAAGGCCCGACTGTGAATACTAGCATTAAATACTAGATTTTGGCTAATCAAATAGTTATAAAGTATGAAAGAATGAATGTGGTAATAAGGTAAAAATTGTAAGCTCAGTCTCTTCTTGGCGTGTAAGTTGAGATATATATATATATCTTTCCCTCTTGTTCTTTTCAGGAACCTTCACTGTTTGCCGTTGCGAAGCTGCTGGAAACGGGTTTGGTGAATTTACCGCGCGTTGAAGTGCTCTGGCGGCCGTTGACGAATCATTTGTTGGAAGTCTGTCAACATCCACATATCCGCATGAGAGAATGGGGAGTGGAAGCGATCACGTATCTCGTTAAGATGGCTCTTCAGCACAAGTATCCGCAACCACTCCGCGATAATCAGGTGCGGCACAAATTAGTAAAGTACATAACGAAAAAGAAGACACATGAGATGTTTACCTGACACTTTTGTGCGTAGAAGTTGCAAACGTTACTGTTAGGGCCACTTTCGGAGTTATCGTCCGTGCGTCACGGAGACGTTAGACAACGGCAACTGGAATGTGTCTTGCAAGTGCTCCATGGCGCAGGGGAAACACTGTACCATGGTTGGCCGTTGGTTCTCGGTATTATAGGAGCAGTTTCTGATCATCATGGGTGAGTTTTTAAATTATTTTGACTGGTCGAATTATTATGTATCTTCAGCTGACCTCCTGTTGCGTGCCTGGTGCGATTCGATTTTTAATTATGGAACCGTTTAATTATAGGCTGTTTATTTCTTCCCTCTTGTTCTTTCTATACATTTATAGCGTAAAAATAAGAATTTATCACGTGCTAACAACAGCGATTGGCTTTTATTCGCCTTTGTTCTTTTATTTTTTAATTGAATTAAAATTTACACGGGAATACCGGTAAATTTACCGGTGAAGATCTTATTTTGAAGGAAAGGTCTATTGTTACAAAATGTATTCTCCGATTTTTCCAGGGAAGCTTTAGTTCGCATTGCTTTCCAATGTCTGCAATTGGTTGTAACGGACTTTTTACCGGTGATGCCTTGGCGATGTCTTCCGCTGTGCGTCGATACAGCCGCTAAGTTCGGATCACAGACGCAAGAATTGAATATTTCACTTACAGCTGTCGGTCTAATGGTAAGAGGAGAAACGAATCAATTTCTAATCGGACGTTTAAACGCGAATATCACCGATAATGTTACGAGCACAACGATACAATCTGGCGAATGGTTTATTTCTTTAGTGGAACATAAGCGACTACTTTTATCAAAATCAAGAGAAATTGTGCGTTTGCCTGCGCGGAGATTCATCGTCGGTGTTTCCCGATTTTCCCGGCACGACGAACATGCCGCCATTCGACAAACTGTGGATGTGTCTGTACGCGAGATTAGGTAATTTATGGTTTCTGATGCGTGTCGCGTATCTTATCTACAGACAGAACGAACAGTACAGCACGTTTCAACGAAATCATTATTGCATACGAGTGACGTTATGTTTCACTTTGTTTCTTCAAAGGGGATCTGTGCGTCGATTCGCGACCTGCTGTGCGCAAATCAGCGAGTCAGACGCTATTTTCTACCATATCCGCACACGGCAGCTTGTTACATCAACCCACGTGGCAAGCGGTGCTCTGGCAAGTATTATTTCCGCTGTTGGACAAAGTAAGAAGTCTGTCTAACTCGGCCAGCAACGAGAAGGTCGACACTAGTGGGAACATACTTATTCACCATAGCAGGAATACAGCACAAAAGCAGTGGGCGGAGACACAGGTGAAAATACAATCATACTACGTTTTCCACACGGAGCGTAGTAGCGTGGCGCAAATTTTTCAATGATAGCGCAAATCGAGCGGTTCGATAACGAGATCCATCCTCTTACAGGTTTTAACGTTGAGCGGCGTAGCCAGAGTGTTCAATACGAAACGTCAGCTGTTGCAAATGTTGGGAGATTTTCCTAGAGCATGGTCGCTGCTGCTCGAATTCATAGAAAATTCCGCGCTCAGCAAAAATAATGAGGTACGTGTCGCAACGCGCCGTAATGATGTGTTCCGAATGTATTCGCAGGGGTTGGATAATTAATTAACCGTTTAAAAGTGGATAACTCTTAACTCGGTTAATTTTTAAAAAGTTAATGCATTTTAAATAACTCTAGTCTGAGTTAAAAGGGTTAACTCAGACTAGAGTTATTTAAAATGCATTAACTTTTTTTTTTATACAAGCCAAAATAATTCATTAATATTAAAATCATCGCGAGTTGCTTACAATAGAGAGAAAAAAAAGAAAAGTAAAAATAATGTCAGCAGAATTTTCCTCGTCTCTCTGAGCTCTACTTTTTTGCTCTTGTATGATATTTAACTCAGTTAACTTATTTAACTTTATAGGCCATTAATTTTTAACTTACCTTAGTTAAGAATAAAAATTAACCTACCCCAATTTTAATCTACTCTGAAACACGATCCTCCAATCTTTTAGGTATCGTTGGCGGCGTTGAAGTCGTTCCAAGAGATTCTCTATCTTCAGAAGGGAAGCGACAATACCGAGGTAATTCAGTCGAACGACTCGGAAGGTCTGTGGATCGTGGCGTGGCGTGTGTGGCTCAACATCGGAATGGAAAGTACTACCCCGCCACAGGAGAGTGACACCGAGCCTTACGTGCCGTCGCAAGCGTTTCTCACCGCGCTGGTGCACATATTTCCGGCTGTTTTCCAGCACATCAGAAACAAGTATGCGATTGTGCTATTTATCGTTCCTGAAACGATAAAATGTTGCCTGAGGAAATACTCTGGCGAACCGAACCTGCGGAAATATACGTACGTGCATTTACAGATTCATCGGGCCCGATCTGCAAAAATTATGTATCGTGCTGAAGAACGCGGTGGCCGTTCCGGTACACGGTGAGTCGACGCCTTACATCGTGCCGTCGGTGCCGGATGTAGTTCTCACTCACTTGCAAGATGGAGTGCTGCACTCCATGGAGCTTCTGCAAAAGGTACGTAGATTTCTCTCTATACACGGAAAAATACATACTGCGTTCACGTAAATGTTAACTTGCTTCAAGTATTTCATAAGTTTATGCATCCGAAAATACAAGCATCAAATTTATTCAAAATATATTCTGAATCCTAATAAGTTTGGTACTTCAATCAAGAATATTAGATTAAAATAAACTTTGGTCTTGTTTATTCAAATTAACCAAATTTAATTTTTCTCTGATAAAGTTTGTAATCTTGAAAAGAGAATAAATTTCTCTTTACGTGATAATGGATTTTTCTAAAATTTGTGATGAGTATACTGTAAAATTATTATCAAGAAAGTATTTTTTGTTGAAGATAACAATTACTTAGGCTAATTAAGTTCGTCTTGCACGCTTTCGTGCTGAAAAACATTGTTCTATCTTCCTTCAGCGTATAATGAGAAACAAAGATAGAATGTCGCTTTCAGCACGAAAGCGTGCAAGACGATCTTAGCCTTAAAAGAAGAGAAAGTAAACTGAGTAATCGCTTTTCTTAGCAGTAGTGATATTTTTTTTTCTTTATATGCTTCTTCGTACCTCTCGAGAGGCTGTCTTATTACGATCTTTTCACAGGAAGCGTTAAACGGCCCCGACAACTTGCGGACGATGATCGTGCTGATATTCCTTCAGTTACTGAGCTTTTCGAAACTGGCGTGCGAGGCGCCCATCTACGGTAAAATACCAACGAAACACATCTCCCAAATTAGAGGCGTGTCTGTGCGTACTTGGATTTCACAACTTGAACTTGCGGTTGGTATATGATGACCATATACGGTAATGCGAGTACGTGTCGTTCTCCTCAGGCTACCGATTGGGTCACGATGAACTACGTACCGTTCGGTGAGAAAGCGCTATCGATGGTCGTGAGCTTGTATCAGAAGACCGCGCACGAGATGGCCGTGATCGACGGCCAGGTTCTCAAGCACATCGTGGAAGCGCTGCACGTGCCGTTATCCATGAAATACGCGTGTCCGTCCGCGACCACATGGAAACTGGCCGTGACCAGCCTGCTGGCTGTGCTGCACACCGGGCTGCCGCTCGCCAGGAAGTATCCCGAGCAGTTCCAGAGCATGTGGCTCGAGCTCGCAAGCACGTTGGACGATTTCTTGTTCCCCAAGAGGTAAACTCGCGCACCTACTTCCAGCTACTTCCTCGTTGCGCTGTTATTCTTCGAATATTAGCATGCGAATGGATCTCGCCTGGTCAATTTCAGCGTGCTGAGCGTGGAGCGCGGGGTTGAGGAGATCCAGGCCGACGAGGCAGTCGATTGTCAGGTCATGGAGTTATTGAGGGACGAAGTATTGCCGCATTCTCAACATATACCTCATCAGTTCATACTGAGAGTCGTTATGCTCTTGAACAAGGGCTCCATACATTCAGCCACCACGGCGAATATCGGTAGGTGTAATGCTCACATTTATTTTTAAATATAACCATTTTAATACACTCGTATAAATATTTTAAATACTTTTATATCAGCGCTGCTATCCAATCACTTCTTTTGTCATTTTTCTTGACAAGTCATTAAAAAATTCATTGGGTATTTGTATTGTTTATGCCATTCGTCTTTCTTTGTTATGAACTTTTAAATCTTATTATGAAAAGAATTCTCTATATGTTAAGTTATCCAAAGATAAATCTGAGAATGTAAAAGTAAGTGTTACTTGTTTCCTTAAATAGTGTTTGAGTTACTCTCAGAATTTGACAAAAAAAAAGTCACTTTATCACTTTTTCTGCCAAGAAGAAGTCACTATTTTATTTTTATGTTCTGTGTGGCAGCACTGATACATATATATATATATATATATATTTTTTTTTTAATAGCGTGATAAATATACGAAATCCCTTCTCGTCTCCTGCAGAAAATGGCGCGGAAACGAAGTTGCGCGAAGAATTCGCGAAAACCTGCTTCGAGACTCTCTTGCAGTTTTCCCTGTTGGATGGATTGAACAACGACACGGAGAACAGCCCGAAGAAGAATCCGGAGAACGACGAGGGTGGAATCGCCGGGCGCTTGGCGGTTACGGCGCTTCTCCACAGATTCCAAGAAGTTCTTCGGCGTTATATCGAGAGCGAGAGGCGAAGCGGCAAATGCCCGTTACCTAGGTAATAGTACCGTGGTAGCCGTTCGAGAATGCTCTTCTCACTCAATTCCAACGGATACGTGACTTTTATCCTCGATAAAACGTTTCGCATCATACCAAAATATGCCAGCCATTTTAAGTACTTATTATAGAACCCTTTTCTAGGTACAGGTTGTCGGAGATATCGTTTGTTCTGAAAGCTGTCGCCACTCTCGTAGTGTCCCTCAAGAAAGCGCCACCTAACAAAGGTAAACATTTTTTACTTTTCAGCAAGCTTGAGTGACACCGCGTGATGATGCATGACGTGTGTATGTGTGTGTGATAAACGATTTCGTTTCAGTCGAAAGATCAGTGTGGGAGCAATTGATCGGGTTGTATCCGTGCTTGGTGGAGTGCACAATAGCGACGACTTCCGGACAAGTGTCCAGATCGTTACGGGAAGCCCTGCTGCAATATCACGACTTATTGCGGGCGCCGGTTCACAACACGCCGACCTCCAACGGCGTTTGACCAATACATTCTTTTCTTTTAACCGGTAGCACGAACGGTTGCGCTAAATAAGCAGAGGTACAGGGTGAGTAGCTTGCTTGTGTAACATACTGACGCGCGGCAAAGTGTGCGAGCCTCGATTTCACGTAGAGAACATCATGGGTTTGCCGTCTAGTTACGCTCAAAGTAGAAATAAATAAATATATCGCCCTTAGATCCTTCGCTTTGGGCCGCAATTCCCGGCAATCCCGGTTCCGATCGACGACAGCTAATTTAGATCATTGCGATTTATTCCACTCACACTTGTCGACACACTGTTTTTACGACGTTGCAGTACAATAATCAAAATACAAGGTAGAGTTTCCAGATCGATGCTCTTAGTGGGGAATTTTATATGAATTTGCGCGATTCTCCTCTCCTCTTTTGATTCATGGTCATACTGAGAAAGTAGCAGAGAATTCTCTTTCGCGAAATTTTCCGCGAAATAAAATATGCAGTAGCGGAGAACTTTTTCTTAGGGTGTCGTTTCACACAGATCAAGTGAGAGACAGGTGTACGAGGGCAAGTAAAGGAATTGTTTTCCGTTTCTCTGATGACGTGAAGTTGCGAAAGAGACTTATCACCTTGCGTATTTCCAGAGAGTGTAGGAATCACTGTGTTTTAATAGTGCAACCTGTAGTTTGTTACTATCCTTTTGAGTATATATATATATATGAAGGAGAAATGCTGTATATACATATATAAATATATATACATCTGCAGGGAATGTACAAGCCAGCTTTTCTAAAAATTGATGTTGTAAATACTACACACGAGATATATACATATTATATACATAATAGAGAGTGCAGGTACCAAGCGATTTTATAAATAATATATATGAAACTTTATCATTATCTACTATTCTTACAAATTGCGCGGCGTCGTACCACCAGAATGTAAATAAATCTATGCAGATTAAATAAAACTCCGGAGCGACTGTTATTTTCTCTTTTACGTTTTCCGTTTCAGATTCCACGTCGTCCTCCGATCACAATGTTCCCGTCCGATGATTGTTACCTAAAAGTTCCTGTTTCTTTAGAAAAATAATTCCAATTCCACATCAACAGGCTGCGGTATAATTGAGATATTTATATGAAAAATCATATATTTTTGAAATGTGGTAAATATTTTTCTAGGTAATGTGAGAAAGTTGAAAGTGTTTTTACACGAATACGCGGAATTTTTGTGTAAATTTGATGATTCATATATGATATACATAAAAAAAATAAAATCGTCAAATTTTCTCGTTCGCATTATATATGAACTTGAAATTTACCAGGCGGAGGGAAATACAACATTATTTCTTTTTTTTTGAGATGAGAGACATATATTTAAAAATAAAATATAATCCAATAGTGTACACGTACGTATGGAACGTTCACTATAATATATAGTATACATATACAGGGTTTGTCAGCATCGCGCACTTTCTTCCAATGTTGCAGATATTACAGGAACTAGATTAAGGGAAGACTATTGTTCTAATATCGTGATATTCGTAGAATTTGAAAAGAAACTAGAAATTATAATGTGTGATGATGATTTGAGAAAATGAATTTACGAATCTAGACGATGAATAACAGAATGTCTTTCTTGATTCTCTGAATGAAGGCTTTATTATTGCAACGAAATATTAATTCGAGTTCAACTATTATAGCGTATTCGACGTTAAAAATTAATACGCACATAGGACATAGCGTTTCTAAGATTTTTGTTGAAATCGATCGCATTGTTGTCGACGGACAGTCTGCAAAAAACATGCGCGATGCTTGCGAGAGAGGCGTCCTATATATTTAAATTAGCATTGTCTACGCATAATGCAGTTTTTCAAATTCTTCGAACGCAATGTTTTTACAACTATACATTTCGATATATATAACGGTTAACCCGAATAATGAACTTATACCACATATTTTTCTTTAATTAGCTAATCTTTATGCGGCAACAAGCATTCAACGAATTCACCCAATCGCCTCGGTACATTTGAAGTTGTAGAGTTCATAAAATCATCAATCAAGGGAACAGACTACGAAGTGTTTTTTTCTTCAAGCTAAATGCAAATTTATACATTAATTAGATAACTACCGTGTTTAATTTACAAAGTAAATCTCTCTTTCGCCAGTTTAACGGCTACGATTTGTTCACGTGTAAGCATTGTCGTCGATATAGAGTACAGTACACATTTCTAGAATTAGTACACATTTTGTATATGAGCGCTATTACACTCGATGCGATCTCTCAATTGAGTCTTTCGTGTAAACGACACAGTCGTGATAATTCACTTGTCGAGATGTGCGCAGGTATATAACGGCTCTACTAAAGATTTATATATCGTTTATATAAAAATGCGTAAAAAGCATAATCATAATGATCGATATGTCGCGCTCTACGTTCTTCATTTTTTGTCGCAAAATATCCTTATCGTTGTCACAAATAAAACGTTGTCTTAATGTAGAAGACACGGCGTACAAAAGAAAACCTTAAAAGTTAAAATTAGCAACATACGCTCGCGATAGATATGTAGAAGTGCCGGAATAAGCAAGAGTGTACATTTATCGTAAATACGTTCGGTTTCTTTGTTCTTTTTTCCTCCTCTTTTTCTCTCTCTTTCTCTCTCCCCTTTTCTCTTCTTCCGCTTCTCTTAATTCTAGGTCATTAATATTAAATATATTTTACCATTAATTATTGTCTGTCGTTTTAGCTTGTGAAGTCTTCTATAATTATTAATAGACATAATAATATTTAAGGTTTCTGGATCAAGTACCGGCGACAAGGTAATATTGTCTCGTTAATCCGTCGGATAAATGCACGAGGATCCGGTGTGCATGCCAGCTATATACGCACAGGAGTGACACTTATATATCTTAAACAATATGCAAGTCTTTCATTTTAATTACAGAGAGAATGCAACGTGTACTTAATTGTTACCTCTCATTTCACTTAAAATATCACCTATGATTAATTTATTGTCATTATGTATTTGGCAATTTTTACTATCTAATAATAAAATATAGATAAGCACACATACACACTGATGAGGTTTCAAGTGAGAGAAGGAACCCGAGCGGCTGCATACTTTTTATCTCTTAAACATTGTTTTCCTTGATCAATTGCATGATAATCCATTTATCTACGTCGCTCCGGCGATGTCATATTTCCGTTTTTTTTTTTGTTTTTTTTTGAAAACGCGATTGGTTTCAGCTGCATTATAGCGACTGGTTTCAGCTATATTATAGCGTCACAGCAATTTTCGCAAGAGATGAAGAGACGCGGAGGGTGATCGAGGTTCGATATCTTGAGTGGTCAGTCGATGCTTGCGCCGTGCGTAAAAAGAGAAAATATACAAAGTACCCGGTAAACACCAACTAACAATAATGTAATATCAATGTTATAATTTCCCGCTCAATCATGTAAATGCAACGCGTGTGTTATGTAAGAGTTACATTGTTGAATGGGAAAGTGCAACATTGATGTTACATTGTTGTCGACCGACAGCGTTTACTGGGCAGATGTACTTGGTATTATTTGAAAGTAATCATTCAGCTCGAAGGTACAGTTTGCAGCTCGCTCGAGCCTTAGTCTCGAGATTATCCGACCAGTCTCTAGTTTTGCAGTATCAGGCACTGGGTCTCAACTAAGAACCTCAGCCTAAACGACGGTACTTTAAAATAACGTTTAATCTAACAATCGAGCAACTGTAAGTAACAGCCCTTCTCGAAGAGTTGCGCAAGGCCACAGCGAACCGTGGATGCCGATCCCGAGGAGGGAAATCGAGCTTGCGCATCTATCAAATCAATAATTCGTAATTCCCTACAGAATTCGAGCGCGAATCGAGGCGGCTTGACTCGTGTTTCGGTCAAGCGAGATAGACGAATCGGTTTGATTGTTTCTCCTCCTTTTTTTGTTCTTTTTCCACTTCGATAAAATCTCAACGTAATCCGAATTTGGCTAACGCAGAATAGTGCGCGAGTTATGTCGCGAGAAATATATATATACACATATATCTCTCAGTAAATAGAGTTTTATTTCACAGGGTCGAGAAGAACAGAATCCTCGAGAAATGGATTTTCTTAGCGAAAATATTATCTCTAATTGCGCGTACATGTCTCAAGTAACTTTCGATATTAGAAATTTCGGTAATTGTAACAAATTTATCCATATAGCACACAAATGTTCAAGAGACATTCTAGAGACGTCTCGGAGATCTTCGGATATCTCTAGGTTCTCTAGGACGTCTTTTGAACATTTGTGTTATATGAATACATAATTGCTGGGAAAAAATTCTCACTTTATATTATTCAAATGATCAGTCGGATTTTATCCGTTAAAATTCTCTTATTTTTTTACATCAACGTATTGTTCTACGTGTTTTTCTTCCAAAAGTAATTTAACAACAGCATGAATTTCTCGTCACAAGAACGTGATATGAGTTGTAAATTAAATGAAAGAAACATTAAATCTAGTATTCGTAGTTTTTTATTCGATGAATAATCATAGCTTCGTAAATCTCTGATCGTTTCGCCGATATTCATAATCGAATCTTACATTTAAGACCGACTTAAGTTAATCTTCAGATTTTACAGGGTTCATTTCATTAGCTACGAAATATCGGAAGATAAACTTGAGACAGTCTTAAATAAAAAATTCAACTACGAATACCGCATTTTGTCAATCTATTTGTATTGCCTGCAAGAAGTATTAATCCAAACAGCTGAGTAACAATTTGTGAATACGAATATTTAATTATGTTCTCAATTAATGATTATAAATAATTCTATAACTATGAATACTGATCTAAATTAGAATATTTGAATATTTTTCACACGGCTATTGCAGAGAATGTAGCCATAAATGTTGCTAACAATTTAATATAAATACGTACGTAACATTTTAATGACATGGATTAAATACTACTTTGTCGACTATTATTTGTCAAAATTCATCGAAAACCTGAATAGAAGGCGGATCTCCAGGGGCCAATTTGTAAGATATGTCTACGTTTTTGCCTCTGTGTGTGTGTGTGTGTGGGCGCGCGCGCGCGCGCGCGCGTGTGTATGTGTGTGTGTGTGTGTGTGGTAATTTTTCAAATATACAAGTATAAAGTTTTTCCAGTCGGGGGGAGGGACCGTCGTTTAATACCAAATTATTATATGTATAATAATTATATATTCAGGTTTTTTTCTCACGTATTTATATCTTTTGTACGAGCTACAAAAGCGTGGAGAATGATTAATTTCTTCAGCATAAGTGTCACGGAGTAAGCCACACGAATAGTCATCCTACGCGATCCCAATTTTTTTTTTCTCTTTAAATAGGATTACAAGAAACTTTTACATTTATTGTCGTTTAAGGTGCGCTCTTTAATCCTTAAGTGTTTGACCGTGGCGTTCGCCACTGCAGTATTACGTACTGTGTTACTCGGGAGAGGCGAAATTGCAAATTCAACAAACATATTTTGCGATAGGTTTCACAGATAAAATATTCGAGGACGTGTTGCGACGAATTCGCGTTGTCGATATCGCGTTTATAAGACAGTAACAAGTGTTACACATTCATATCGATTTTCGTACTTACGCGCACTGCGATTGAAACATTTAAAACATTTAAGGATCAAGACGTAACATCGCTCGCATGTACAACTAGCGTTTAGTGATTCTCGCGAAGAAGCATTCGTCAGTGTAATCTCAATTTGTAAGACGTCAGAAATGATCTTCTTTCGCCTCCTTTTTTTTTTCTTCTTTTTTTCTCTCTTTTTTTTCCCCTTTTTTTTATCACAATATAGTGTGCCGTGTATTCATATTAAGAACACAGAAGTATTGTACGCACAGACTCTTTCTTAAGAATAATTATTGTCTTTCGTACAGTTCCAATGTATATCTGCTGCACCAATACAGTACACTTTGATGGATCATCGAAGAATATACTAGAGTCTCTTAAATTAAGTTAATGTACAATGTCAAAATTTCCTTTAGATATATAAGTCTTACTAGTTTATTGTCCAAGTGTATTGTTCGGAAAGGTCGTGGAGGAAGCGCCGAGACGCGCGACATTCTGTTTGGCCAGGGGAAAGCAGCTGGGGAGAGAGGGGAGAGCAATTCGCACGCGACTTATCCCCGCGAATATATCTCGCGATGTGTGTTTAAATCGCGCGTCGAATCGATCGAAATGACATTTCGCGTGATCAAACCGCGTTTATTAAATCCACGAGCTTCGCGATCTCATTTTACACGTGGATTAATTACTCGGTATTCCTCGAGTTTAAATTTCGGACTCGATAATACTGACGGGAGCGACGCAGAAGCGATATTGAAAGCGTCGAGAATTGCCAATAATGAATAACAATAATAAGATAAAAAAAGTGTATTAAATTACGTTTGGATCCATCTGGAGAATGCATGTAATTTTAATTATTATGCGCAGTTTGCCGCCGGTAATATCAAACGGCCGAGAAACTTCCAGGCGGATACTAACGTTCTGCTAACGTGGAAGCTCGTGATATGTGTGTGTGTGTGTGTGTGTGTATGTGGTAATTTTTCAAATATACAAATATAAAGTTTTACGACGTACCTAGTCAGCGTACGAATGCGCGCTGAATCGCCTCTGAGCTTCGAGATTATTCGCGGAACGTTTTACCTGGCGATTCTCCGGTGGCTACGACACACCGTTGAAATCTAATTGATTATTTCCACAAGAGGCTGCAGCAGCTCTTTCAACGGGAAGAAAATGGGAGGACATTTTTTTCGATCGAAATGAAATCCGATGTACGTTTCACTTATCCGTGAAGTTAAATTCATTCGAACGAGAAGTACGGCTAAGGAGACTTTGATCGCACACACGCATTCAAAACAAAGGGATTTCGAGAAATCGCTGAACGATTTCACTTCGGGTATTCAAATCGGAAACTCGGGCAGCTTTTCCCGGAGAGATATCGCGAAAACAACTCCCGGGCTTTCCCGACCAAACAGTTGTCGCACGTAGACGTAGGGAAACTATTCTGACTTTGCTCTTCACGTTGCGATGTTTCACAACAAGTCTCGAGCGCGAAAAGATGTTGAAACGTCCACGAAAGAGTGAAATGTCGGACTGTCCAAATGTACAGAGTGTCGCGCGAGACGACGCGCATCTTCGATCGACTCGAAGATCGTGCAAATTAGTGATGTGTAAATCGATGTTTATCCTACGCACGTTGAATAAATTGAATCCCGTCCGCGTTAGAGGTGTGCACGCGATATTCGGATACACACTCTGAGCGGGGTCTTTCTCACGATGCTTTTTTAACCCGATATTTGCCACTTTTTAAATCCTGTCTGCCTCCTCTCTCGTAATTCGCTCATCTTGATGCTGCCGAGGTGAGTCAAGGAAGAAGAATAAGGGAAATCGCGTCCCTCTAGCAAAAAGTCGCGCGATACTGGCAGATATCAGGTTAAAAGGCGCGTTTGTTCTAGCTGCACTTACATTGTCGACATAAAGATTGAAAAGTTTGCGCAGGAAGTTGCCGGAGCCTCAGAGAACGTCGAGACGCGCGTGATTTTCGAAATGAGCCTCGCTCGTAATCTCGCAGTCGTGATATCTTGCCGATAGCTGCAACTGGTGTGGCTGTAGCTGCACCCATCGGAGCGGAGCGGTCACAAACACTAGTATGCATGCGGCAGTTTTTCGATTTGTACCGTTTCCTCGCAACAGTTCGCAGCATACTAACGTCCCGCGTATTGCCCGCGACGCCAGTTCCTCTGCGAAAACATAGACAGAGACGAGAGACTCTCTCGTAGTTAGTTGTACAAAATAATTCAGTATTGATTAATTTAAAGGAGAGAACACTCAAGAATAATACGACGAGGGAGAGGGAGAGAGAGAGAGAGAGAGGAAATGGAATATGTAAATCTATTACGAACGTTCTGTCTCGCACATATGTATTATCTGTCATAATTACACGGTACAAACCCAGGAGTGATAAATGATTATATATGATTATATATAATTATATAAAATCATATATAAATTGTCCATATATATGTGGTTTCATATATAAATTTGCCTATATATATGTGGTTACATATATTATCATATGTGTCCATACGGAAAAAATGATGTTATGTCATTTAATTTAATTTAATGTCGATATCATGTGCTGTTAGAAGCACAAGTAGCCAGGTGCATTCACTTCGATTATATTTGTATATAATTTATAAACAACAGTATTTTTTCGTCGTGAATATATATGGTTATATATAGTCATATATAGGCAAATTTCTAATTATATAATCTTTTATTTCCCCTGGGAAGTTTTGCGTTAAAAACGGTCCGCGAAAATGTTGTCTTATTTAAAAATGGAAAACATGTTGACAAAGTGAAGGAGTTAATTTAACATCACATTTGTGTACTTTTTAACATACCTCCCACGTTAAAACAACACAAAAATTCATTGGACCGTCTCTAACACAAAAGATCTTATCTATCGTTTAAATATTAGTGGGAGGAAATCAGATTTAGGAATAAATGAAACGAGAAGTTGTGGAATCCGAAGAACTTTCTCCGTCAATTCTTTTAGTAGCGGAAGAAGAAACTCACCGACCAAGCTTGACCATTGTTAGGTATGTTTGACATGTAGCGTCGATTATTGTAGTCGTAGTATTCCTTTGGTATTTGTAATGATGACATCGGATTAGAGAAATGTCCTCGTGATTGTTGTATGGGTTCTTCTTCCTCCTCCTCTTCTGCTTTCTCTTTCAAAGCAGTTTCCGCTATTATTTCTTCGATATGCTGCTCCTGAAGCACACATTTCGTTCTCAAACAACCTCAGCGTACATATTAAATATCACGAGACTTAAGAAGGATCGGCAAGGATTACTTCGTCGAGATTACTTTGATAGTAGCACAGGCATTTACGTCATGTAACTCATACTGAAGAAAATGCAATATCGCTGAATCTTCTCTCGTGCAATTTCATAGTAAAGTCTACTCTGCGAAACTTTTTCAGTCAATATCGCAAAAAGCACAACGGGTTAAAGGATCAACTGATGCTTACAAGTTAACAAAACAGCGAACTTCTACACCTGAAGTAATAAACACCGGACTCTATAATTAGCGATTAACATTTTCTGATTGCTGAGTTCCTCTCTTAAACATTTTTGAATAACAAGATGTACGATTAACGACCGTTTTCTTATTAATAATGGTATTATTAAACTTGATAATTATTATCATAAATATAACATTGTAATTATGATTAATTATGATTAATATATAATTATGATTAATATGAATAATACTATAAATGTGTGAAATATAAAATCATATAATACATATAATACATATGATAATTATCATAATTTATTATGTAAGAACTTAAACTTGCATTTTGAAAACTAATTTCAACAATTCTGTCATTTTACGTATATACGTTATGTAAAAAATATAGAAAACATTCGAAAATTTATAGATATACGTATATATGTGTATACATATATATTTAATTTTTCGAATACTTTTTTTTACAAATATTCTGTGATCCACCAAATACTTTCTTATAAAGAAGGTCTCAAATCTCTCCGCGAATTATAAATCGTTCAAAGTGCACTTTTTATCTTTATTAACAAATTTAACAAGGTTAATAATAGTTTATTGTGTTTCAACTTAGTTTCAAAATTTAAATACGATAATATCGAAAATTCTTTCAAGCAGGGGAAAGCTGAGGGAGTTAACAAAGGAGAGACCAACCCGCAGCTCACGTGCTCTTTCGGCCTGGACGAGGTTCTTGAGCGCTTCGAAACTGCCGGCCTGAGGAACCTTTGGAGATGAGACACCGCCACCAACGCGGAAACTGGTTACACGCTGATGCCTGTTTGACGGTATGTAACGATTCAGGGTCCCGAAAAGCCTCATGTCCTCTAAGGTCCTCGGGCGTTGTCTCATCCCGTTCCGCAGTCTACTCCCTGCCGGGGCCTTGTGCACCATCTTCCCGTAAATCGGCGCACCTCCGGCCGCTCGACTGCGGGCTTGCCCGGGATATTTCCCTGCGAATAATTAACACCCTACTCAGCTTTCATCCATTTTTCTCTCATAGCGATCTCTCTTGTGTAAATGATACTTTGTAATAAAAAAGCTATGTCAAAGAATATTTTTCTGTCTGCGCGTGAGAGGCGTTTGTGTAAAGCACTTTTGCACGATATATTGCACAGTATTAATTATTATATAAAGAGGAATATACGCGGAATAAAAATGCTGCTCATGAACCGTTAGAATTTCTAACAGCGCGTATAATTGGAATAAATCTTCTTGAGGATTCAAATATTATTGACTACTAGTATATCGTATATAAGGTGTCCCAAAATTAGACCGACAAACTTCGGATGTTTATCGAAATAAGTAATTTTTCCGAGTATAAATCCATTTCCACCAATAAACTATTACAATACTAGAACAAATTATTTACAGCAGTTGTTCGAAGTATTGGCCATTTACTTCAGTACAGAGATATCAGCGATTTTCTTGCCGGTGCTGATTTTTGTTTTTGCTACATTTCTTGATAAAAAAAAAACATTAATAAAAATTGCTCTATCAAACTGAAGATTGTTGGGAATCTTTAAACAGGTAGAATTAATATTGTTTGTTATTCAGCACGCAAGCTCAGAATCACAGAGTTTCTTTAATGTTTATCCGAAATTCCTTTTCAAAATCAATCAAAAGAATTTTTCTTTCGATGAACTGACGGATATCTTATTTATGAGAAAACTAAGTGAAGTAAGGTAGCACGTGGAAAGCATTGACATTTCGCCAATTAATGCTACAATTTCTTAAATAACGATATCATCCATTAGAATCGTAGCGGTTGCTTTATTACATATAACGTGCATATTACACCACAAACATAACTGTATTATCGTCAACAACGTGTCTTTACGAGAATCCTATTGCCTGTGGCCAGGCGTTGTGACCTCTCTCACATGCCTGTGGTACTGATTATTACGCAGGCATATGGGACCTAGTTTAATACCGCTTCCGAACAGCAAGATTTAGAGATGCCTTTAATACATCATAAACGAAACAAGAAAGAATTATATAGAATATAAAGAAAACGTAAACGTCTCTTTAAACGTAACGGTTTTATGTCACCAATTGAGAATTAAAGGAAACGTATAAGATGTCGCTCGTGTCATCTCTTGGAAAAGTAACAGGAAGGGTGAGAAGAAATTCTTTTTCGCGATAACGCACATCTCTCTCACCGATTCGGCGCTGGCACTGAATATTGACGAGCTCATATGCTGACTTCATAATCCACCGTCGTCGTCGGCGGGAACGAAAGCCGCGGGATATTTTTTATTAATAAAATATTTCTACGATGCATTTTAAAACGTGTTATGCCGTTATGTATCTTATCTAAATTATTCAACTTTTTTCCTTCTACCGTACAACTCAAATTTTCGATAGTTTCGTCGCGAGACAGATTATATAATCATATATGGGCAAGTTTCATGCATGATCTTTTTTTTCCCGGGTTATAATTTAACAGAATGAAATATTTTAGGTGACGCAACCTAATACTGCAAGAAACATGTAAAAAGAACCTCATTCAAATGTGTCACTTTTTAATTGTTTACGCGTGTAAAAATGACACGCTTGGATTTGCAGCGCGATACTCTAGTATCTTCGATAACTCCGAATTGATTAAGAGCACGGCTCGATGCAATCGCCGATAACTTCGCTTCTAGGAGTCACAATAATTTGATATCAAATTCGCTGTGAAGCTTTCGAGTGTTCCTATATGAGAATTTCGAGTAATATATTCGAATAAAATTAAATTTAAGTGGTAGGAAAATCTCGATTGTGTTCAGGTAAAACGGAAATTAGTTTTCGATGGAAATAGGGGAATCTCGAAATTGAACTGTGTGTGCCCGAATCGAAATTTTAGTTCTACATTAAGTTTTCAAAGGTCTTCTATTGAACTTCTTTTGATCCTACATATGAGAAGTTTTCTCCATTTGAAGTCTTAATGTAGAATTTAAAATTTCCTCTCGGGAAGTTTAAATTCCCTTTATAGCATCAAAGAAGCTGAACTAATAATGCTCCTATAAATGAGAAGTTATTTCCGTTTTCTTCACTTGAAGATCTAATGTAGAACTAATAGGCTTAATGTAGAACCAAAATTTCGACTCGGATGATAATATCGTGAAACGACAATTTTTCGTTTCGATTTGCGGATGTGAAGAATACGATTATAAAAAGAAAAGAAGAATAGCAACGAGATCCTTTCCTCCTCTTTGCTATTTCTGCTAATAGACTCATCGTCGTCGGTAAACAGTTGCTACCGCTAAATTAACGTTTGATAAGCAATTCTTACACGAATAAGTAAGCAAGTAAGTTTTGTTTCCGCAAGAAGTTAAAATGTTCAAAGGCGGTTGGGAATAAGTTTACCGTGTTAACGGCACCGTGCTGTATACTCGCGAAGACGAACGTAAATAATGAACTAATTTCATTTCAACAACGGCTGTGTAACTTTAATCGTAGTTTAATTGAAAAACTCCGCTACTCTTTTGAGACTATACTCAAGTCCATTACGTAAGTAAACGCGGGAGATTTAATGAACTGCCGCTGTGGCCGTTATAGTCGGCAAATATTAACGTTCTTATTAAGCGATAATACCGTCGCCGTGCCGCCGAATCGCAAAACAGATTGGTGGAAAAGGAGGTCCGCAACACATCGCGTTCGACCTCGTTCGAACGATAAGATCGTGCCGCGTATTTCCGCGGAATTTCCACGTAGCATTCAATCGATTCTTGTGTAATTAAGGGCCGGCCGGGGGGGACGAGAGGGGAGCGGAGAGTTCGCCTTTAAGCCGGAATACGATTTTCAAGTGATTTCCCGGAGAACATCCGTCTCAGAGACGAATACTCTCTCCGGATAGATTATAAGGCCTCAATGCAATATTTATCTGTGCAGTATAATTTTTTCGAGGAACCAGAGAAAACACATTTTAGAACGATTTTTTAATGAAAGAGGAGAAGGTGGTATTATACGGCTCTCTCTTTAATATTTCCGTCATTAGGTGACGGATTCCAACGATTACTTGTGGAATTATTTGTTGAGTAGCCAGCTGTTATAGACAGTGGCTGACCTTAATATACTAGTATACAATAGCCGGCATTTGTTATAGCGCATTTTCGAAAACGTTTCAAAACATTTTTAAGGTACATTTTAGCAATTAATTACACATATTTCCTCATTCTTCTTAAACTTAGGCGTATTGTCACACGAATACATTTGAGTGTTTCGTTCGTTATTTAATATTTTATTCCTTTGCGTATACTTCGAATTATGTTTAAAATTAAACAATATAGTTTTGCTAATTTGGCCCCATATTAAAATAAATCTAATACAGCTCCTTTTTCGAGGCTTTCATATCGAAATAATTATTCGATAAATCAATAATTCATATTAAGTTTGAAAGCTTTTCTGTTTTGTAGAAATGTTTTTTTTTGCGGTTTGTATCTATTTTCTGAAAAATAAATTAGTTCCCATATTAAAAGTTTACAGTTATTCATTGTTGTTCCTTCTGAGAGTTTATTTCGAATAAATATATAATTTTCTAAGAAACCACTGTGTTCTTTTAAATAAAACCAACTTTTCAAATCTATTATTTTAGCAGGAAGCCCCACATTATCACCTCTGTTCCTTTACGACCTACTATGCAGTGTCGCCATATTTTTATGAAGGACAAGCAATAAAATCTAAGTAATAAAATCTTTTACAACTTTGAGTCTACAATCGATTGAACGATACTTCGACGTATGTAGTCGTAAAATTGTCCAATATTAAAGTATTGATATTAACAAAGTTATTGTTACATACAAAATATAAATGGGGTCCGTAATACCACCTTCTCCTCTAATATTTGCATTTTTTACCAGTAATCGGGCAAAAATGGGGAAACTGTAGTATTCGTCTGACAGACGGATGTAAAACCGATGTAAAAGAATTCGCGCGCCGTTTGTTAAATACGTACGCTTTGGCGGTCGATCAAATTTAGACGCGGGCCGACTCCGCTTGCAGCGTTACTGGGCTTCAAAGCAATAGCCAGTCCGCCATACCCTCCGATAATTAGCTCGAATCATGTATACTCGTTAGCGTAAGTGTTGGCGTGTATAGCGGTAAAGTGATGCGCTTGACCCACATGTGCGTCGCGTATTTGCCAGATGCTATTGCAGCTTGCGCGTAGCTTGCATGCGGCTCGCATGCAACTTGCAATGTGCGGCTTTGCGCCCCGGCAGCTCGTCGGCAAACGGCTGACGTATGCGCTGACTTGATACGCGAAATCGATAAAACGCACGCGTATTTTCCGCGCCGCGGTGTCGTGTCGGCGCTCTTTCATCCGCCGAAAGCATGAAAGGATTCGCTTTTATTACTGTCGATAACAGCGATGCAAAATGATATCGTAAGTCGACGCGCGCATGTCGTGCATGCATGCATCTCCACGGAGGAATTTCACCCGAGAATTCAGTGAATTTCAAATATCCAAAACATCCCTGATACAATATATTTGCCAAAAAGAAAAAAAATATATATATATATATATTTCGCGGGATTCGTCGCGATTACGGGCGAGACTCACCTCGATATATCGTGCCGGCCTTGGTACGGTCGGCTTTTGACCGCATCTTGAATATTCCCGAGGGCCCCCCGTACAACGGGTACACGTTGCCCTTGGCGGCTCTGCTCTGCCTCTTCGTGTACCTCCACATGGCGCGCAGCTCGTCGCACGACGGCTCGATCAGATCCATTCGTTTGTCGCCGATGTCGCCATTACTTCCTAGCTGCGGGTCCATGTACCGTATAGCCGAGACAAACGATCCGCTCGTGCATGTCACGACGAAGGCAATACACACGGCCGTGGTGCGCATTTTCTGAAACCCACGCAACGACGAGATCAATGGCACGTGGCAGATGGGAAGGGCGAAAGAGATGATCATGTTTCGTTTCGTTTGTAAAAAATCTAGATAACTTTTTCATAGTGACAGTTTAACGCGATTCGGGCGAATCGGGGAAATCATTTTCCGTACTCTCGCTGTTCTTCTTGCACGACTGAAAACGTGCGCGGCGGTGACGAATTGAAAAAGTAATTTCGGTAAAGAATGCAAGTGTCTGTTGTTAAAACTGATAATTAGGATAATGGAACTATTGTTAACTATATTATTAATTTTTAATGCAAGCAAACAATAACTGCAATTGACTCCTATTGTTTCAACTTTTATTAACATTATTATTAGTTGATAATTTTAATTGGAGGAACTCGTGAAAAATGTGTGACATTATTTTCAACCATTGTAGTGAAGTCATCGTTGCTACTGCATATTCATTGTGACAGCAATAAAATTTAGTCGGTATAACCAAATTAGCAAATAATTCGTAATTCGAGCAGGAACAATTTTCTTGCCAGGATAGAAAAAAATTTTGCCGAGTGAATATGTCCTTAGGACACGTTAATTTGTTCTTCGAACAAAATAGCCTTTTCTCACATTTACTAATTTATCCTTACAGCAAAATAACTTGTAGATTCAGCAAATAATCCAGCAAATAATAGCAATTAGTGTCCTTAACAAATCGTCTCGCTGCCCATATAATAACTGACAGATTTTACCGCGACAGTATAAAATTCGCTGCGCCAGCAAATTCTTTTCCTCCGTATGAAGACTTTAATACTGAGGGGAAATTGCGCGAGTCGCTCCAAAATTTCCGAGCCCTCCGATTCGACCGGACCGAAATTTCGTCCGTGAAATTTTTATTCGCAGGACGTCGCAGCTTCGTCACCCCGAGTTAGCGCCCTTCGAGTTTCTAGAAGTCGCGTAAACTCGCCGATATGCTTCACAATTCGCAACGCGTACACACGTAAATAACGATAAAACCGAGTGACGTAAAATCGAATACAACGGCGTATTGTTAGACTGCACGAGGAGTTGTCGAAATGCTTTCTGGCGCAAACTTGCCCCCGGCAGCGTCGAGATCGTATCCAACAAATGGAAAATCTCAGAACTTAGCAATATACTGTAACTGATATATACTCGATCCGGTAGAGAGTTGAGTCCACGCGCTCCGCAATGCACATTGACTACCCCGAGGCTTCTTTGAACAGTCTTCTAAGGCCTTTGGGAGGCAACCCTGCAGTTGCAAAGTCTCTAGCGTGGCGGTTGAATTAACCTCTCAGTCTATTCGTGTAATGTCGAGTGCAGGGTATTTAATGAAATGCAGCGATTGATATAAAATACTATTTTTGCAAAGGCGAGAAACCTGCTTTTCATACTGCAATAATCGTTTAAAAATAACACATTTCACTGAAGCTCTTTCTACATGTTTCTTGCAGCTTCAGATTACGTCATTTAAAACGTTGACTGCCAACTACGAGATGTCTCGTAGGTTGTTTACTTGCCCAGGATGCCAACTACGAGTTATCTCGTCGCTTCATTACTTGATTAAATCAAATTGGCTTTTTAGACCAGAATCGTGAAAAGTTCCGTGGCAGTCAACGTGTTAAAACGTTTAATTGTGTTAAATTATAAGTTAACACGTCCAAGTTTGTTATAATATTGTATATTACAGTTGTTATATATATATATATATATATATATGCATGTATATATTGTATAATTTAATATCACAACAGTAGAAAGATCTCTCTTTCTTTCTCTCGACTACTCGATCGCGATTTAGTTCCGCGCTCTCACGTCGCGTTGGTTCCTTACAATGCGCGTCAAGTTCAGCTGCAACATTGGACGCTTTTATCGAGAACGCGTAGGCTAACTACACGGAGCAACAAGCTGTTTGTACCGCATCGTAACCCGTACTAATTAGGCATCGCGCGTGTTGAGTGCAACCGCCGGTTCGAGGAGGCACCCTCTCGAGCACTTTAATTACGCTTGTCCTCGAAAATCCTATTCCCAATCCGAATTGGCGGGATGCAAATCGAATGGAGACCGCAGCCTACCGTCGTTTCCGCTGTCCGAATGACAACGACGAATCGAATTAGCGATCCGAGTTTCTGTTATATCTCGGCCGGGATTTTCGGAGCTTTTCGCTGCGGCGAGGCAATGCGAGGTACCGTTCGCGCGCGAGCGTTTTGAGCCAAGTGCTGACAATTTCGCGAATTGTGGAAAATATCGGTCTCACTTGGCGCGAAAGAAAAAGCAGACTTCGACAGGCAGCGTCGATCCTTCCTTCCTCGAGCGTTCGTGGTACACGATACGTCGCTCGAGTAATTCCTCCGGGAATGAGCATTATTCGTTCACGGAACTCCGACGGCGAAGTTTCGCCTTTCTTTCACTTATTTTTCTCTGACGCGATATTGTACACGCGCGACTGCTCGGCTGCCTTGTAATCCTTTAATACCGCCACCATTTTTCTCACTAGAGAAATTATATTGGATATTAAATAGTTACGGATATCTGCGCCAGGGCTGCCGTTTCGCGAATTAGACAGATGAAATAAATATCAAGAATATATGTATATAATTAACGTCATACGCATGCACACACGCACACAAATTTAATTAGAGATGTATTAGGATAATTTAGAGATTGCGCATGTTGTTTTTGAGATCGTACAACAATTTTTAACGTTATATATTTGGTCGACAATCAATCTCGTTAGGATAAAGTTATCGATCATTCCATATCCTCCCAGGCAATAGAATGTCTAATATCGAGATATAAGACGTCTTGTATTTCGATTTTAGACAGATTCTGTTATCTGGGTCTATCAATAATAATTCAGTGATGAAATTAAACACATAATTCTCCGAAATTTTATATATATATAATAATTCTAACATATACAGGATGAGGCAATAACTATTACACTGCCTTGAATACATTCGAAAAAAGAAAATAGCAGAAAAATTTATCTAACAAATTGCATCGATACCATTGGTCATCATTTCGAGCACCTTCTGTAAATATAAACTTGTTTCATCTACATCTAATCGTAAATGAAAGATTTTTATATCTCGAAGATATTCAAGATTTGTTGATACTTATTATCCCCCTCTCTCTCTCTCTCTCTCTTTCCCTATATATTATATTATTATAAGTAGAAGATGGATGCATCGTTATTGCAATAGAGATTATTATCACCTGCTAATCCGCCAAACTGCAACAGTGAGCGTAATCACTTTGGCAAATCGATATATTTTCAACACACGCGTTCGTGCACGCGCCCGTACGGATATTGAATGATGCACGCTTCAATGTGTAGGCGGTAGCACAAAATCCCATTAGAAACAATTAGTTTTGCGATATACGCTCGGCGGCATTTCAATCGTCCATCAAAACGCGCGGTTCGTTGATTCGTTCGATCGGCCGTTCGTAGGATGCATTCGGGAGAGTTTAGTGGAATATGTGCATCGCCGCGCGATGAAAAGTGCAAACGGAAACGGTGCGCTACCGCGGAAGCTCATATTGTTCCGGCAGCGCTGAAGCGGAGAGCCCCGGAATGAGGCGTCGCGCCATAAAGCTCTCATTATTCGCAGAATAGGGATGATTGTAATCTCCACTCGCTTCTCTTGTCACTGTCTCAACGAATAACCCGCGAAACGTCGCCCCGCAATATTCTTTCTCGTGTGCTTTGAAAGATAATGCGGATTATAAGTAATAGAAAGAGAGAACCCCCCGCCACGCATGCGAGCTTCGTGTAATTCACTTTTCCGAGAATGAAACTGAAAGACTTCTCATTTATGTAGATTTCTGTGAATTATCTCGATTATTGTCACGTGCTTTTAGAGATACATAGAAAGAAACATTTTGTATTTGGGTTAAAATCGGTGCTTGTTGAAATTTTTCCGTTAAATTCTTAAAATACCCGTGTGTTAATTAATGACACATTATGTTTGGGTTACATCAATATTTTGTGTTGGGTCGATATATATATAAGCGATAAAAATAATACATTTTATACTTCAATGTCGATTATATTACGGATATTAATTTTGTGTTAATTTTTCACATAATATTTGTGTTACTTTTCAAATTTGTATTGAATTAACACAAAAATATGTGAATTGTCTGGAACATGTAAAATATGTTAAATTTAACACATTTTTTATTGTGTAGGGTGGATAAAGAAAGGGAGAAAGAGAGAGAGAGAGAGAGAGAGAGAGAGAGAGAGAGAGAGTGAGGGGAGCAGACTGGAATAAGACTGTATTTTTATTTCGATTTCTGAACAAACAAGGAAAATTAGGAAACATTGCGATCCCCTCCTATGATCCTCGTAGAGGGAATAATTTTCCGTAATAAATCACACACACATACATTGCAACCGTAAGCGTGGGCTCTGCGGATTACCGTGCATTAAAGTATCCGCGCGCTGATCGGTTGAGGATACGTCAAGTGAGATTTATAGGGAGCTATTTAAATTGTAATTCGAGAATCGGATCGCGCGACAGACTGATTTTGTATTCGATCTCGAAAATTCGGGTGGTTGCACGCATTACGATCCGATATCGCGATGATTCAGACTCTATCTCGCATAAGTAACAGTTAAATTAATAGGAGGCGAATTATAACGAGATTTCGTTCTTTTTTTTTTTATTTTCCATTTCTATGTATTTTTTTCCCCACTATGAATATTCGATGATCCGCATGTCGCGTGCACGTGCACCATCATTGAAATGCAATCGAATTATTCGACGGGCCACTGAATGTTATTGTACTTTTGCGGATATTGCGTCTCGCATTGTCCCGCATTACATTCATAGCGCGTGAATTTCACCTCTTCATCGCCGATGATTCCTCATCGATCGCGCCACATGTATGTGGTGTACGCTCGCATCATTAGATTTTATCGGGATTTAATAGATCCCCGATAGAGAACGACACGTGCTTCTTATTGTTAGTGAGTGTATTACTGCTAAATGCGA